GGTTTTGAGGCTTCCTGATCCATCTGGATTCTCCCTTAAAAAAAATCGGAATTTTCAGGGTCCCAAAAAAAAAATCCCGATTTCTCAAAGTTTCTATACATGTTTTAGTTTATGGATTATGTGTGTTCAAGTCTTGATTGTTGAGGGTGCTGGGAATTCGTAGCAAATTCTTGCGCGTTGGGCGAGATTGGGGGATGGGCAGGAATCGACAATTGGTGGGGGGGAGAGGGGGGAGGGCTGAATAGGGGGGGGGAGGAGGCGACGAGATTGCAGGGGCGGAATGAATCTCTTCCCTCGCAGAGCCTCAGAACCCATGCTCGATACAAGTCCGAAATTTCAGATATCCCTTACAAAAAAACCCTGAAATTTCAGGAAATGCCAAAAACAAAACCCTAGCAAATCAGGACTGGTACCCCTCAACACCCTTTTTTTTTCCTGAATCAGGAAAATTTTCCTAATTTCTGGGGGCCTGTTTACGAACCACACGTCACAACTCTGCCGAGCCACGACCGTGTGCTCCTAGGCTGGCTATATCCATGCCCCTTCTATTTTCATGTGTCAAACATATGCATAACTCATGTTTGTATAGACTGTATAGGGTCGCCTCTTAGAGGGTACAACACTCTTAGGTATATACCCTTGTACTCTCTCTCTATTCATCACTTCTTCAGTTCTAAGATGGTATCAGAGCCAAAGGTCTTGGGTTCAACTCCTAGTGCCAGCGCTGCAGAGGCGCTCATGTCTTCCACCTATCCCAGCGGGGGGGGGGGGGGGTGTTGAGTGACCCGCTGGGGTTGCCCTTGAGATCCTCGGGGAAGGGCCACAGGTGCAGAGCCTGGGGGGCTATGGGCGCACTTACCCGCTATTCCGGCCGGCCCCGCGCCCGTCCCAGCCGGCCCCGCGACCGTCCCAGCCGGCCCCGCGACCATCCCAGCCAGCCCCGCGACCATCCCAGCCGGCCCCGCGACCGTCCCAGCCGGCCCCGCGATCTTCCCAACCGGCCCCGCGACCGTCCTAGCCGGCCCCGCGACCGTCCTAGCCGGCCCCGCGATCGTCCCAGCCGGCCCCGCGATCGTCCCAGCCGGCCCCGCGACCGTCCCAGCAGGCCCTGCGACCGTCCCAGCCGGCCCCGCGATCGTCCCAGCCGGCCCCGCGACCGTCCCAGCCGGCCCCGTGCCCCTCCCAGCCGCCCCTGCACCTGTTCCAGCCGGCCCCGCGACCGTCCCAGCCGGCCCCTCGTGCCCGTCCAGGCCGCCCCTGCACCCGTCCCAACCAGCCCCGCGCCTGTCCCAGCCGGCCCCGCGCCCGTCTTAGCCGGCCCCGCGCCTGTCCCAACCGGCCCCGCGCCTGTTCCAGCCGGCCCCCCGCCCGTCCCTGCCGGTCCCGCGCCCGTCCCAGCCGGCTCCCGTGCTTGTCCCGGCCGGCCCCGCGTCGACTTCCGGCCCTTCCTCGCCGGCCCTACGACCGTCCGATCTGCACTCTCCCTGGTACGGTTCTCCACCACCTTTCACCGCACTGTACCGCAATGCACCGCATTGCACCGCACTGCACCGTACAGCACTGCACTGCACTGCACTGCACTGCACCGTACTGCACCGCACAGCACCGCACTGTACCGCACTGCACCGCACTACACCGCATTAAAATGCACTGCACCGCACTACACCGCCCTGCACCGCACTGCACTGCACTGCACCGCCCTGTATCGCACTGCACCGCCTAGCACTGCCCTGCACTGCACTGTTCCTGATGGCGGCGGAGCTTCGCTTCGACGCTGAAGGCCAGCCTCTTGAGTTTGAGGCGTGGCTTGCTGACCTCCGCTGCCACCTCACTGGCCAGCGGCAGGATGGTCTCTCGCTGTTGGCACACCTTGACGGTACGCTTCCCTGCCCAGACCCTCCTGTTGTGCTGCCTGCTGACCCCACCTCTGCTGAGCGCGAGTCTGCTGCCGCTGCTGCCCTTGCTCGCTCTGTCTGGCTTTCCCGAGACGATGTCGCGCAGCTTGCCATTAGCAATGCCCTACCCCTGTCTGAGCGTCTCCGCTTTAGGTCTATCACTACCGCTCAGGCCTTCTTAGATGCTGTCATCAAGCGCTATTCCACCCCGCCTGCTGCATCCGTGGGTCGCCTGATCCTCCCGATGCTCTTTCCTGACCTTGCGTCTTTCCCCACTGTCGCAGACCTAGCTGCCCACCTGCGCACTATCGATGAGACCTGGCGCGCTGCCTGCACTGACGCACAGCTTAGAGCCCACCAGCTGCCCATGACCTCTACCCTCTACCTGCTTGCCACCCGCCTCCCTGATCGCCTTGCCGCCGCTCGCGACCAGTTCCTTAGCATTCACCCTGGTGAACTCACCCTCACCGACTTTGTAGACACCTTGACTGTGATTGAGACCCGCCACCGCTCTATCGCACAGGCGAGCGGTACTTTGCCGGTCCCTATCTTTCAGGTTTCTCCCCCTACTCAGTGCACCTTCTCCGATGGTTCTGCCGCTCTGGCTGAGACCGCTGCCGCAGCGCAGTTCCGTCCGGGGAAGGGCCGCCGCCCCAAGGCTGGGCGCGGCGGGGGAGGAGGGGGTGCCGGTGGAGGTGGTGGTGGAGGCGGGCCGTCTGGTGTTGGAGCGGACGCATGCACCCCGCCCGCTCTAGCAGCAGCAGCAGCCGTCGCAGCAGCCGAGGCAAGCGAGTGCCCTCCCGCCCGGGTGGCCTGGAGCTGGTGGTGGCCGTGCGCGTGGTGGTGGGCCGGGTGGTGGTTCCAGAGGCGTGCGCTGTCAGTACCAGATCCAGACCGGTCCTCGCCGCGGCTTCGTTTGCGGTAAGATCGGTCACTCCACTCCTCCCTGTTTTCGTCGCTTGGACGACCTGTTCCGTCAGCGCTTCGGCCCGTCGCCCGACCTCCCGGACTGGCACAATTTGCTTAGTCGTAGGGTTCAGATTTTTGACTTGGACATGGATGCCATTGTAGTCGCCCTGCATGTGATGTATGCTGATGACTCTAGTGTGCTTCCCTCTTATTACCCCTAGTTGCCTAGTGTAGGTGTGCCTAGCTTAGACCCCCCTGCTGCGTTAGGCGTAGGATCTCCTGATTTGTTTAGCCTCGGTGTGTCCGCCGCTTCTCCGCCGCCAGACGCCACTGCTGCGCTTTCCTTCACCTTGGACTCTGGTGCTTCTCGGTGTTTCTTCCGCGACTCCACTACGCTGACGCCGCTTCCTGTTCCTGCTGCAGTTTCTCTTGCTGACCCCTCTAGCGGTTCGGTAGTCGCCCGCAGTTCCACCACCCTTCCCTGTCCGGCGGTTCCTTCGGGCTCTCTCACAGGTCTGCATATCCCCTCGTTCTCCAGGAACCTAGTTGGTGTCAGCTGCCTCGACTTCTCCACTGCCTTTCTTCAGGGCAGCCTACACGAGCAGGTCTACCTGCGTCGACCTCACGGCTTTACTGGCACCTTCCCTCCGGGGACCCAGTGGCTCCTGCGGCGTCCCGTCTACGGCCTGCGGCAGGCTCCTCGTGAGTGGCACGACACGCTGCGTGCTACCCTTGCTGACCTGCAGTTCTTTCCATCCTCCGCAGACCCCTCACTCTTCGTTCGTGCTGGCCAGACTCCGTTCTACATCCTTGTCTACGTAGACGACCTAGTCTTCGCCACAGCAGACCGGGACGCACTGGCCTCCGTGAAGGCAGAGCTGCTGAAGAGACACACCTGCACTGACCTTGGAGAACTGCGCCGCTACCTTGGCTTGCAGATCTCCAGGGACAGAGCCGCGCGCACCATCACCTTGACTCAGTCACACTTGGTGCGCCAGGTCCTTCAGAGGTTCGGCCTTCAGTTCTCCTCTGCACAGCCCACCCCTCTTCCTCTGGACCACAGACTCTCAGCTCAAGTTCCTGAGGAGTCAGTAGAGCCCAGTGGTCTTTACGCTGAGCTGGTGGGTTGCCTCATGTACCTGATGACTTGCACTCGCCCAGATCTCGCATACCCTCTCAGCATCCTGGCTCGCTTTGTGGCCACAGGCACACACCGACTGCAGCACTGGTCTGCCGCTAAGAGGGTTTTGCGTTATCTTCCAAGTACATCGGGCATGGGGTTAGTGCTAGGAGGACACAGGCCAGTGGTCCTTACTGGACACACAGACGCTTCTTGGGCATACGACGCCGAGACTCTCAGGTCTTCCCAGGGCTACTGCTTTAGCCTTGGTTCAGGTGCTGTCTCGTGGAGAGCTACCCGTTCCTCGTCTGTTGCGCAGTCCAGCTGTGAGGCCGAGATCTATGCTGGTGCCATGGCGGCATAGGAGCTCCGCTGGCTGACCTTCTTGCTCACTGACTTAGGTGAGCGGCCTAGCTCTTCCCTAGTCCTGTACGCTGACAACAGGGCCATGATCCTCCTGTGTCAGGAGCCTCGACTCGAGGGCAGAGCGAAGCATATTCAGCTGCGGTACTTCCTCCTGCGCGAGCTACAGCAGCGCCGCCAGGCTGGCGTAGTACATTTGGCCTCCGGTGCCAACACAACTGATATCTTTACAAAGGCGCTTGTGCCTAAAGATCATCAGCGGCACTGTGTACAGCTCTGTCTAGTTCCTGTAGCCTCTCACTTGCGAGGACCTTGACCTTGTACTGTCCTATATATATCTGTATATGTACTCAGACTGGACTTGTGTCCTCTCCTAGTGGCTGGACTAGTAGTGCCGCCCTGGTCATGTTCTTATCTTGCCCGACTCCTTTTGACTGGTCTTTAGACCCTTGCCTCAGTGGCTGGACTAGTAGTGCCGCCCTGAGCTGCTTGTTCAGGATTTGCGCCTATGCAGTCTAGGGGGTGTCAAACATATGCATAACTCATGTTTGTATAGACTGTATAGGGTTGCCTCTTAGAGGGTACAACACTCTTAGGTATATACCCTTGTACTCTCTCTCTATTTATCACTTCTTCAGTTCTAAGATTATGTGCTCTGTTGTATTGTTTCCTCGTTAATCGATCCTTCGACACACGCTCTTTGCACTTTATTACAACTGAATAACATTCGCATCACTGTAGCCTATACATTGCCCGTTCTTTATTGCATACTACTGAACACGAGTTTGTAGCTACTAAGAGCTAGCAAGAACATCTTCCAGCAGTGTTCTTCCTACCACCACATCTAGCAAATCTTTATTGGCCTTCCCAGCTTCACCTAACCCCCAACACCTACACAGCCAATCCGACCATCCTCCCCCCAACAGCGCACCACCATCCATCTGTAACCCATCACCAAGCCAAACCCGTCCACTTCGCTTCCGAGCCAGAGCCTCAGCCTCGGCCGAACCTCTAGGTTGGGGCCATGGCTTCCAGAGGCATGCGAACTGCGCATGGTGCACCGACGAATACACGGCAACCTTTGCCCGCCCGCCCAGGCGCCTCAATGCATGCACAAGTGCCAGGCTGCAGTGAGGGGGCGCGTATGCATCGCCCGGGCTGCACTGTAGCAGCATGGGGGGAAGGATAGCAGCAGGTCTGATTCTCCCATCCGCTATTCCTGACAATATATGGTTGCCAGCATCTTTGCCAAATTCAGAGAAGAAAAGCGACAAGGCTGCATCTGGGGAAGGTGCATTTCCAGAAGTTGATTTGCCTGTGCTCCCAGCCCCTCCCTTAGCTGCTGCATCAGTTCCCAAGCCTGCTACTGCCACAGCTTCGGCCAAGGCAGAGAACAGGTTTGGAGGGGAGCCTCGGGCAAAGGCCGCGGGGCCTCCAACAGCTTCGGCAAAGCAGGTGAGAGGGGCAGTGCCGGTTGTGACTGTATATGTGTGCATGTAGTGAAGGTCGAAGATGCCGCTCAGACCAATCACACAATACGGCTGGCGGGTGTCAGCTTCTTCCCTGCGGTCCTCAATCTCCCCATCATGCTGCTGCTGTCCAGCAGCCCCCCTCCCCTCCTCTCTTCTGCTACCACTGCCTCCAACTGCCGTGGTTTCTCCCCTCTCACTTCGGCGCATCCCTCCCTCCCCTTCCACCTCTCCCCCCCTCCCACCCCGCACCCCCCTCTCTGTTGCCAGCAACTCTCCCCTCTCGCTATGTGCCGCCGCCCTCTGTGCCGCGCTCTCTGCGGCCCCCAGCAGGGTCTTCTTGAAGCGGCGCCACACCAGCATGGCCACCGTGTGCGACCCTGCGGGTCATGGGGAGTCAACACAGGTCAATGGCAGTTAACGGAGTGAAAAAAGAGTCAACAGGAGTCAAAGGGGGGAAGCACCCATGAGAGGAGAGAACGGCAGCAGAGCAGAGTCGTAGGCGAAGGTGAATACCCTTTCTTCAACGGGAGTCAGGCACGCACCTGACGAGTGGCCGCAGAGGAAGACGCAATTCGGATCGCCCCCGTAGCGAGCGATGTTGTCAAACACCCATGAGAGCGCCGTGCTGGCCTCCCCTTGCTGGCCCTCTGCTAGGAGCTGGGGGGGAGGCAGTGGGGTGGAAGTGGAGAAATACGCTTGGGCAGCCTAGCGTATTGCGTACATACGCTAGCGTATAATACGAATACGCTGTACGCTAGCTAAGTACGCAATACGCTAGCGTATTTCTTGGCGGGCAGCCCGGCAAGAAATACGCAAAAAACAGTGCGACAAATTTGCGACATGACGAAACCCCACAGGGATTTCGTCATGTCGCAAACCGAAATTTGGCTTTTCAAATCGTCAACCCAACCCCTTCGCCCCTCCCAACCACACAGCATCCCACCCAATCTGCGACTTCCAAACAACACCCAAAGAAATCTCCTTCCTCTCCCTCTCTACTCTACTCCAGCAGGGTTCAGCGCAGTTCACTCCTACGACGAAATCAGGGTACAAGTAAACTGGCGCGCTAACTTCAGTCATTTCTTCTTCCAAGCTAGCGCGACTAGCTAGCTGGTTTTTTAGCGACTGTTGCTATGTCGAACCCTCCACCTAGTCCTGATTCCCACGGAACCGACGCGGGAACCTCCTGTGCTGCGTCTTCCTCTGACGAGCTCCTGGAGAACTCCACCCACGCTATCTTTAAGCATTTCAAGTTTAAGCATAAGGAGCACGGCAAGCAGCAAAAGTATTGGTGCAAGTACTGCCCCGTATCCTTTACCGGGACGGCCTACCGCTGCACACAGCACATCACTAGTTGGGATGGTATGCGTAGGCGCGAGGTTCGGAAATGCGAGGAGGTAGGGAAGGAGGAGCAGGCTGCCGTCCGCGCGTTCCAAACCGCCAAAGTGCTCGCGAGGGAGGAGGCACATAGGGCGGAGGAGTCGGCCCTCGACGCCGTTAGTGGTCGGGGAAAGCGGAAGATCACCGATTACCTGTCCGATGACGCCCAAGCGGCCAAGGCGGCGGCGGACGAGGCTATTTGCCTCCTCTTTGCCGGCCTCCGCCTTCCCGAGCGCCATGCCGACCACCCGCTTTGGCGCAACGCCGTCCGGTCCATCGCGCGCGCGGGGACCAGCTATGTGCCTCCAAAGCGCGACTACGTGGGTGGTGCCGGCTTGCAGCTATGCCGCAAGCGGATTGACGAGGGATTGACGGGGCGACATGTCGAGCTGGAAGCGCCACGGCGTGACGATTGCCAGCGACATGATGACCGACAAGTGTGGCAGGCCGCAGGCGAATGTGATGCTGGTCAATGACACCGGCGCAGTGTTCGTCGAGAGTATTGACTGCAAGATGGAGAAAAAGACCGGGGGATACATCGCCCGGCTCCTCCGGCCCATCCTGCAAAAGGTTGGGGTCGAGAACATCGTGGCATTCTGCACCGATGGCGGCAGCAACTACCACAGCGCCTGCCGGCTCCTCATTGCAGAGAATCCGCGCATCGAGCATGTGCCGTGTGCGACGCACGTGCTCGACCTCCTTATGGAGGATGTGGGACGGCAGGCTTGGGCCAAGGAGGTAGTGGGGCGGGCGAGCGAGCTCATCAACTACACCCGCAGCCACCATTGGACCCGACAGTATCTCAGGGGTGTGGACGGAGGGAAGGGGCTGCAGATGCTGAGGCCGGCGGGGACCAGGTTTGGGACGCAGCACATTGCTGTGTCCCGCCTGGTGGAGTTGCGGTCAACGCTGGTGACCATGGTGCTCTGCGATGCATGGAAGGCGGAGTGGGCGGTGGGCCCAAAGAAGGCAGCTGCAGAGACATTCCACGACCAGATCATGGATAAGGACTGGTGGCCAGCGGCTGAGCTCTTCAAGAGGCTGCTCCTGCTCCCGTTCAAGGCCATGAGGGCGACGGATTCGGCAACGAAAGGGATGATGGGCCGCATCTATGAGCTGATGCTTGAGCTCACTGTGAATGTGGCACAACTGCTGAAGGAGGAGGGGGATGGGGTGCTGAGTGTGGGAGACAAGAAGGGCGTCAATGAGATTGTGAAGCGGCGTTGGGATGAGAGTATGGCTTGCCCACTGCACGTGGTCGGGCGGATTCTTAACCTGGTCAACCAGGAGGAGCGGATTTTTGGGCCGGACACGGAGTGCACCAATGTGTTCAAAGCTTTCATTGCCCGCCACTATGGCGGGGTGATGATTCCCCAGAGGGATGGCCTGCCCAAGCGTGCCACACTCCTCCTGCAGGAAGGGTTGGCCGCCTTTCTGAGGTTGAGGGGCAGCTTCGGCACGGCTGAGGCCATCAGTGACCGGAAGTTGGTGAAGGAAGGAAGTTATTCCATGGAGGCGTGGTGGGAGTGGCACGGCACTGACCACCCCTTGCTCATGGCCCTTGCTTGCCGAGTGCTAACTCAGCCGGTGTCCGCATCCAGCTGTGAGCGCAACTGGGCGGTGTGGGATACTGTCCACACCGCCCGACGCAACCGGCTGGGTTCAGAAAAGTGCAAGGATCTGGTTTACGTTGCGCACAACTGGAAGGTTGTGCACAACTGGCACATGGCCGACGAGGGGGCGGGGGTGGTGTCCGGTAACATCCCGGACGCCCCCGTCCCTGCGGGGTACAGGGTGGATCGGGAGGAGGAGGATGAGGAGGGCGAAGATGAGGAGCTGCTGGACGAGTACCTGTAGAGCAGAGCAGGAGAGGGTTAGGCGGGCGGTTTGGGGGAGGCTTACCTGAGATGGGTGGTTGGCTGGTTGTTGGAGTTTGGAACCCTTGACATGCCCTTGGTGGCTTGAACTATTTATTTATTACCATGCTAAATGATGCCACATTTGGTGGGGGGAATTTGGTGCTCTGAACCCCCCCTCTTCCCTCCCCAAACAGGTTTTTTTTACCCCTGCCCGAGTTGTTTTTATACCTGCCCGCCAGAGCGTATTTCCTAGCGTATCCAATCCCATAATGAAGCGTACAGCGTATATACGCTAGCGTATAATACGCTTGCGTATAATACGCTGGACGCGTATTTCTCCACTTACCGTGGAGGTGGGGAGGAGGGTGGAAACGGAAGACGTTGTATGGGAGAAAGATGGGGGAGGAGGGGAAATACGTGATGGCAGGCACGCATCCATGAGAGGGCTGTGCTGGGCTCCTCCTGCTGGCCATCTCCTAGGAGCTGGAGGTAAGGGAGATGCAGGATGAAGGGGCGTGAGATGGAGGGGGGCGAACGATGTAGAGAGCATATCACGTACAGAATACACCTGGAAAGGGCGGAAGCGTAAGTCACCTCGGGGTAGAGAGTGTATTGGATAACGACGGCGATTGCCCCTTCAGCAGCGCATCTGGCAGCGAGGGGCGCATACAGCCACTTATCGCCGCTCACCCAACACCCCCCATGCACAAACACTACCACCCTGCAACCACCGCTGTTGCTGCTGCTGCTGCTGGCAGTGGTGCCAGCACATAGCGGATTGTTGCGGTGGTCGTGGTGATGGTGATGCTGATGCTGATGCTGCTGGTGATTCCAGCGATGGTGGAAGCCGGGCAGGTAAATGTCCATTCTGGAAGGCAAAACAATGGGGGCAGGCTTAAAGAAAAACATTTGGGGCAGACGCAGCATGTGTAGGGTCTAGAGTGCACGTCCTGCGCAGAATACCAGCTAAGCTGCATCTGGTTCACGCCGTGCACGTTCTGTGTGCCTAGTGCTGGCATTGCTGGCATTGCTGGCATTGCTTGCATTGCTTGCACCCAGGAGGAATGCCACCCCCAGTGGAATGCCACCCAGTGATACGCATCGGATTCCCGGTTCGATCAGATTCGCATCAGATACGCCCGTTTGGGGTGCTCCCACGTCAGTCTTGAGACATTTGAACAGCCTGACACATATATTTGGGGTGCATCCACGTCAGTCACTCACACGTTGCGCGGCCGAGGCCCGTATCTGACGTCAGCAACTACGTGGACTCGAGCTAATCGGAGAAGAGAACGATAGAGCGACGGTAGAGGGCACAACGGCCAGAATGCCGCGCCGCGTTTCACCAGCCGGCGCAGCGGCTGTAGCACCGCCGCGAACTGCGCAGCCACGGCAACCAAAAAACCTAGACTCCGAGGGATGACCACGCGGCGAGATATCCGGCGCCATATGCGGCAGAATCGACGGAGGAATACGCGGGAGCGGGACGCGAGAAGCAGGAGGGAGTAGAGGAGGAGGGCGAAGGCGCCGAACGGGAGGGTGGAAACGACGCCCGCGAGCTCAGCCAATAGGACGAGAGAGAGACGCGAAGCGACGGAGAGTTTATGGGTGACGGTCTTTTGCCGGCCCACCTCCCTAATCGCCCCGGTAAAAGCCTCTCTTAGTAGCTGTCCTAGAACCATTGCCAAGTGGGCGGGATACGATACGGTGCCTGGTCGTGCTGCTGGAGGGGCGAATCCGACTTTCGCCAAGCCAATTTGGGATTTACAGTCTGCTTCGTTACGAGACGATTCGGGAACAACAGTTCACAACTCGCACAACGTTGTACTCTGCTATGTCCGGCTAAATCTCCCCTATTCTAGACATCTTATCCAAAGACCAAGTAAAAACCTTATAACATATATGCAGTACAAGTGTAATGAAGTCCCAAAATTACCTACAATCGCAGCTCAAGATCCAGCATTTTCACATCAGCAGATTTTGCCAGTGGCTCGTTGTCAGCGACCCGCATTTCAGGCAGGCCAAGGCTAAGCAGCCTCCCTTCGTCCCTCAGGGCGTCACTCACCCTCTGGCTACCCGCGCTCACACCCGCAAATGCGCTCACACCTGCTGCTGGCATTCCTGCTGGGTTTGCAAGGGCGGCACTGGGGACCTGGTGGTAAAGGTGGTTATGTAAAGCAGTATAACTGGACAGTGGTTCCACTTTGGGGGCTGTGGCTTGAATGTAATTCTGCTGCAGCAGCTGCCCAGCCTGCTGCTGCTGAGAATGCTGCTGCTGCTGCTGCTGCTGCTGCTGCTGCTGCTGCTGCTGAGAACGGTGTTGCACTTTTTGCTGCAGCAAACGCTCCTGCTGCTGCTGCTGCTGCTGCTCCTGTTGCTGCCGCTGCTGAAGCTGCTGTTGCTGAAGCTGCTGCCGCTGAAGCTCCTGCTGCTGCTGCTGTTGTTCCTGAAGCTGCTGAAGCTGCTGTTGTAGCTGCTGTTGTTGCTGCTGACGCTGCTGCTGAAGCTCCTGCTGCTGCTTCTGCAAATGCTGCTGCAGCTGCAAAAGAGCCTGCTCCTGCTGCAGTTGCTGATGCTGCTGCTGCGCTGCTGTCAATGCCACATGATCTCTGGAAGCTGGGGACTGCAATTGCTGCTGCTGCTGCTGCGGCTGCTGCTGTTGTGTTGCAGACTTTGGGGATTGAGCACCCGACAAGGAGGAGGATCGGAAGAAGGAGTGGAGGCGGTCAGGTAGCTTCTGAACTTGAAACCCATCTGCGCGACGCCCTGACGACGACCGATCCCCCTTCAGTGGCGACTGCTGCTGCTGCTGCTGCTCTGGCTGGGGCTGCTGCTGTGGCTGCTGCTCTAGCTGCGGCTGCTGCTGCTGTTGCTGCTGCTGCTGTTTCTGCAGCAGTGGCAGCTGTTGCTTCAGCAGAGACGCCAGCGCCCGGAGTTGCCCAAAGCCAGCATTCCCCAAACCTGAAATTCTTGTCGGGCTGCCCCTCCTGCCACTGCCGCTGCTGCCAGGTGCCGTCAGTTCTGCAGCATTCAGGTCTGCCCGACCCAAATCTCCTGCAGGCACTGCGGAGGACGACGCCGTCCGCCTGTGAAACAACTGGTGAGTTGGCGAATACGCTGTCTGCGACGGACGCAAAACCGTCGCCACCCCCATGTTACCAGCAGCGCTCGCTGTATAATCAGCACCCTCACTATCCCGGTTAATGTTACTACCAAATATATCACCCGCTGGGGTGTTACTGGTTTGATAGGTGTTACAAACCCTAGAAGCCTCGGCCACAACCTGGGTACCCTGAACCAAGGGATTTACCGCTCCCACAGCGCCCTCCCCCATCAGAGCGTCTTTCTGCCCAGCCACGAACCAGTCTGCCGAGCCTGTTCCTGAGGTCGGACCTGGAGCGCCTGGTGCTCCGGAAGTACCGAGCGATTGGTTGGGAGCAGCTGACCGTGTTGTTCCCCCCGACGCGCGCGCCCCCGACCTCCACCACGCGCCTAGAGAGTTGCGCCCTCCGCCCGACGTCCCTGATGCGACGCCAGTATTCCCCTTGGGCAGTACACCTGCACAAGAGAACATCCGTTAATGAGCCCAAAATGCGAAACGAAGTGATAGAATGATTAGGGGCTAAATCATGCAATCTTGCAAACCCTAAAAAGAGCGCGGAACGAAAATCCACACGCAAACATGCCGAAAAAACTCTGCACACATTAAACACACCTTCTGAGGGCACCGCTGCAGCGAAAACGGGCGCAGCTGATGCTCCCGCCGATGCTTCCGCTGGCGCAACTCTTTCCGCCAGCGCGGAACTAGGTTCGCCTGAACTGCGCGCGACCGCATCCGGGGCGCTAATTCCTGCAAAGCCAGACCCGATCGAGCCCCCAGCGCCCACAACGACCGTGCTACCCGCCGCCGCAGCCGTTTTCGTTCCGCCACCCCCGGTCCGATCCCCGCCACTCCCGTTCTTTCTACTCGAATGCGGCTGTGGGTGACGAGGCGGTACAGAAATATTCCTAGCTGACGCGGATGCACTAGGTTGCGCCACCGTAGGCGTATGCCGCGCGCCAGCCACCACTCCCCCGTGCTCCCCGCGCGGAGTCTCGGACCCCGGCGTGAGCGCTTGAAAGAGAGTCACGAGCTGCTGCTGATCCGGATGGCTGACCCGCGCAGCGTACGGTGCCGGTTCCGCCGCTGAGGCGGACGGGGGAGAACGCTCAGGGGTAGCATGCGCGGCTACTGCGGCGATCCCCTTCGCTTGCCGCCTGTTACCAGCAGCGGCGACGGCGGCGGCGGCGGTGGAAGACGAGCTTACGTCTTGCGAGGCTGCGCCACCGGCGGAAGAGCCGGAAGCTGCGACGCCTTCAGTTTCCTTGGTATCGCTTTCGCCGCTTGACGCCGACTCCGGAATTGGCTCCGACGGGGCCCGCGTGCGCTTCCGTCCGTTCGGGGTTCCGCAAGACCATTCGGCGGAGGGGGACTCCTCGTCTTCCGGCGTGGCTTGACTTGTTTGACTCATCGGGCTCGCCTGGCCGCTGGTCTTCCGCGCAGTGACTCTCCGCGGCTCCAGCGGTCCGCTCATGACGCGCCGCCCCGAGCCCCTCCGCGGCGGCTCGAGCGGACCGCTGAGAACGCGCCGCCCGTTCCCGCGCTTCGTGCGCCCGCTGTTCGATTCCGAAGACTCCACTACCGGGGATTCCGAAGCTGGACGTTCTGAGATTCCGCTTGGAGGCGTCATCGCGCCAGCGCCGGCATGGATGAGAGGGGAGTTACAATTGGAAAGCTGGGTCTCTTTCTGGTGCTCCTCCTGATAGTGCTCGTTGAGTGCGTTTAACGAGGGGAACTTGGACGAACACTCGCGGCAACCGTAAGGGTTGTTTGTGGAGGCGTGGAGATTCGCGTTATTAGCGACACTCGGGCTAAGAAGCAGCAGTAAATCGGTCGCAGAAAGATTCACAGTCTTGGCGGGAACTGGGGGAACGGACGCACGCTCCACGTTTTCGGGTCGCTTCACCATGGCGGCGTCTACGGAGCAAAGCAGCGACGCTGACGTGTCTTTCGAAAGGGTTCTCCGCGCCGCGTGCATGCTGGATAGGGGGCCCGACTCGTCGTCAGCATGGTTACCAAATAGCGCGTTCGTAACGGATTTCCCAGCAGCGTAGGACGTCCTATGCTGTGGCCGGAGAGGCGCCGCCACAGGGTGATGATCCGTGCTCGTCATCGGAGACCAAGATTAGGCGGTTCGATACTAGAACGATGAAAATATGCAGCTCTATTTGCGAGCAGGCTAAGACGCTGATACCCAGCTCTATTCCGTCTTCGACAACCACGAAGACCTAGCGTTAGGGTTCTGAAGTGCAGGTGAAGCTCTCCGCTTGGTTTGGGTGAGCTAAGACACGGTCAAGAGTCAAGGCTGTACCTAAACGCGCGCTGTCTCCTAACTTAGCGCGTTACCGAAGCCAGCTGGGATGAGCTGGAAGAGTGAGCTGGATGCTCGATTGCACTGCGTCCGTGGGATTGTGTTTGTGTGGGGGTTGGTCAGTGCTAGTTGATAGGCGTTGGTGTCAGGCGAGGCGAGATGTGACTGCACAGGGAAACGGCAAACGGGAAAACCTTGGGAGAAAGGGTACAGTAAACCTTGAGAGCACTGGCAAGATTGAGAGAACGTGGGGATGGGGGAGGGAGGGAAAACGGGGAAAGCTGTTTGGCATGGCTCGCGCTGAGGAGGATGGTGGAAGTAACGTAGCACCTGTTGTACGAAACGACCGTCTTCGGTACAGTTCAGCAGCGCTTGTGCCCGCGTTGCCATTGGATGGGTGGGGGGGTGGTGGTGTGGGGAGGGGAGGAGGTGCGTTCTGCAAATTGCAGTCCCTTCGGTGAGCAAAGAGCACGGTTGTAGGAGAGGTGAAGGAGAGGCGATAAAAGCTGATGTGGCAGGTAAAAAGTACAGCTCTCCAAGGTTGACGTGCTTGGTGGAGATGGGTTGTGGTTGCAGAGAACTACCGACAAAGCGTTTGACGGAGCGGACGACAGGCACGCTGATGCACAGCTTGCGCGCCTCGGTTTCGCAAAGAAGAAAGGTTTGGCGTCTCTTGGGAAGATCTTCCAGAGCTGCTGACCAGGTCCTGTCCCACCACGCCAAAAAAAATGTTGACGAGAAATGCTTTTGCCTCTCGCCACGCCAGCCTGTTGTCAATTGATTTTCAAGGACGTGCAACATTTGCACCCAGGACCACCCATCCACGCGGCCTCACCTAAACCATGAAGCCAGAATGCCAAAATTGCGACCGTTCCTTCGTCGCGTAAGAGTCTGGTGTCATCTGATGAAGGACAAACCCGGTGTCTTAGTATTCAAACTGCGTGTCTCACGACACCCTTGTATCGTGGCCTTTTTCGGAAATGCGACGAATTCCCCGCAATACGACTTAATACACTGTTTGTGTGCTGCGTTTCGTCGTGGGCCTAACCTGGCCACTTTCGCATGGGCGCTAGGCCAGCCTGCGAGCTGTGATGCTTTGGTTCACATCACCGTCAGAAATCGTCGACACTAGGGAAGCCCCCGAAATCCAGTGTCTTCTTGCGTGTGACATCCATGGATTTCATAACTCAGAGACACCCCCTTCATATGTCAGAATCCAATGCTTCCAACTGTCGTTCTGTTCCACGATTGTCCCTCTCCGTCGCTGTAGATGCGAAGTGGCATTATTTTGGGGCAGGACAATTGGTCAGAAGTGGCCATCTGCTTCCGACAGTGCACATCCCTCAGCATTTCGTTCATTCATGTACCATCCTTTCGTCTTTTGCTGTTCTGTATGGCACATCGTCTACAGTGGCAGCATGTTGGAAGGAAATTGGCCAGCAGACCGGTGAACGGAAGCCCACGATCCAGATTGCGGTGGAAGTGCTACGCAGGTTTTGGGGTAAGGTACAATGTGCACCAAAATCTAAAGGGCTTCGTTTCGCAGCCCCGAGTGATTGCCAAAAACCAGTCTCGCATTTCCCCTTGGCACCTTCCCAGAACAGCTTCAGTGATTGTTTTTAGTACGTAAATTTAGGATTTACATACTACCTCAAACTTAATGTAACGACTTCTACTAAAAAACTCCACTTCAAACTGATAAACCCTCCATACAGTTTAGCCCCTGAAGAGATGCGTCACATTGGGCAGCCCGTATTTTATCTCAGGGTGGCCCAAAACGATAGATACACATGAGCCGTGCACTACACCTGTCTCGCGGTACTGTAGTTCCCCATCTGTCGTTAGTGTAACTGTAGCTATCATTCTCGTTTCTGTAGTTCGTCTTGAGGATATGCTAGGTGATGGAATGGCGGGTGATAGGTGTACAGTGTTTGAGGAAACGGACGGAAGACGAGGGGTGCTCGTCGAATCTTGTTGACTTCAGGAATGTGCTGCATCTGAAGGTCCTCTTGATCTCGGTACACAGCACACCAAAATGTACATTTTTTTGTCTAATCAACACAACGACCCTACAATGCAGCAACACAACAATGTTAACTTATAGGTGAATACTTCCGTTTTCATGATTTTTAAACTCGTAAGTTAACAATTAATAAGACTATTTATTCGATAAAAAACCACCCTGCCTTCGTCCCACATAATCCAAACCTCACTTCTCTTTCATGTGAGAAAGCCAATTGTACGGTAAGCTAGAACGTTCCTATTCTTGTATTGGGTACCTCTGTAAGGAACCACATTGGCGTGCTTCGCGGGACAGCAAACCCCCTCTCCCCCAGCAAGTGCCACGTCGCCATCATTCGCTTTCGCGACAAAGCGAAAGAATTTCCATCACAAGCATCACAAGATCTGAATACGGGAAACAGGTTACCTGGAAAGCTGGCTTCGCAGCTGACTGGCGCCAGAGCGCCACACATGGCCTGATGACCAAAGATCCTCAAACCAAATGGTCGCCAGGGACAGCAAGTTGACAGGTTTGGCCCATCAGCGGTGTGCGAGCATCGCTGATTTTCATCGCAAAGCATTCGATTCTCTTCCATATTGTCATCGTTGGCAATCTGGCACCTTATGCTGATCGCACCTGCACAAGGAACACAAGCTGGTGCTTGCTTAGTGAAAGCCTGGTTTCTGCCATTCCGGACTGTCATTCGACGAAGTTCGCCTCACTCGCTACGCATACGCTGCCGTGCGATGCAGTGAGGTGCACTCACTGCGGACGTCTCATCGCTAGGTTTGCGAATTACAACAGCGCGACGTAGCTGTGTGTCGGAAAAGCTGCGACGAAGCACCAGGCGCCGTTGAGCAAGCATACAATATCTGCTCCAAATCTTCGAGTTGTTCCAAAAGATAATTAGGAGGCTTTTGAGACCCACAACGATCCCTGCGCCCAGGGATCCCATCCCTATGGGTTAGGGTTGAGTCTCAGGTCCATGCGCCACGTAGGCACGGGCCCAGGCAAGCGAGAGTGCTAACAGCTAGAGTCTCAACAGCAAGGGAAAGTCATTCAAACAGAGGGTCTCAAGGCGATCCTAAGCATTACCCTGCAAGCAGTCTTAGACTCCCACAATGCAACCCCACCAGAGGCATAATGGCACGGAGCAGCACCAGTTACAGCATCAGCCGGAGGCGCGAAATCCCACAATTCACCACCGTTTGCGTCCGCAAGCCTTACAGGTGCAGCGCCAATGCGCGCTCGATGCGCTAAGCCTCCCGCGCGAGTGCTCCCCCAGCATGATGCCCCGCTCCCCCCTTGGACCGCAGACGCGCAAGCCGCACCTCTCTTTGAACGTCCCTTCCCCATCATCACTCCCCCAAACCCCCACCCCCTCCTGCCCTCCGCAAGCCGCAGCAGCCTCTACCGCTGCGGCGTCGTCGCCCGCTCACTCCGTCTACTCCCCCGGCCCTGCGTCCGCTCCCGCGGGTCCTCCGCATCCCCCTCCTTCCGCCTCTCTTCTGCGCCGATCTTCCGTGTCGACTCTTCCGGAGCCGAAGCAGGGCATAGTGCTCTCAAACACTTGCGGCGGCCGGGCTTCTGCCAACCGCAGACAGCAAGCTGACGCCACGACGACGCAGGAACAGCGGCAGAAGGAGCAGCTCCGCGCGAGCGGCTACTCTCACGCTGCGCGTGACCCGCAGCCGCAGCAGCCGCAGCAGCCGCAGCAGCCGCAGCAGCTGCTTCCGCTCACGACCGACGAGCAATGGGAGCGAATCTTGGCGGCGAGACGGGAAGCGCGACGCAGGGCTATAATCAGCAGTACCACTAGTAGTAAGATCGAAACAGGCGGTAGTAGAGCCAGTCGAGCCGCTGCTGCTGCAGCTGCTGGGAACAGCGCGCCGCGCGGAGGGCTGCAGCGCTCGGCCGGCAGCTGCGACGTCTGGCGGCTCGTCCAGTCGGCGGACGCGCGAGAATGCGACTCGTCGGCGAGAGCTCACTCCCCGTGCGCTGGTCGTTTCGGGAGGGGGAAGAGCGGCGCTGCCGTCACCGCTGCGGGGAAGGGGTTGGACCGCCTGGCGCGGAGCAGCGGGAGCTGCGACATGGCGCGGGTGGTGCAGATGCTAGAGGACGAGATGGACTGGGAGGAGGGGGCTGCGCACGCGGCGCACGCGGCGGTGGAGTGCAACCGGACAATTTCTACTACTACTAATAGCAGTCGCACCCGTGAAACGCGCGGAAACGAGGGTTTGAACGGTGCTGGTGAGAGCTGCGCGCCGCACTCAGGCGTAAGAAGCCTAAGCGTGGCTGTTCGCGGACCGTCTCGCTGCTCGAGCCCGTCTACGCCTCGCGGTCCGCGGAAGTCGCGCACTCCGCGCGATTCGCGCAGTCCGATCGACGCGAGTAGGGGGCGCGGGCCGAGGGGCTCTCCGCTGCGGCGTGTGGATGCGCACAAGGCGACCGCGACTTCCACTGGTAGCAGCCTCGCAAGTTTTAAGAATCGCCGGGAGTGGGATGCGGATTCGCCGAAACGAGCAGCAAGCGGTGGCAGTTGTACCGGCGCTGGCGGCAGCGGCGGCGCCGGCGGCGGGACCTGCCTTCGTCGCAGCGGCGGCAGCCACGACGTCGCGTCATTGCTGCGCGATCATCGTGATGTCGAAGAGGGCGCCCATAAGAGGCCGTCGCACGCGTCTCCCAGCCCTCTGAATCCCGTCGCTCAGCGCGTCGCTCTGTCCTCGTCGGCGTCGTCCAGGGCAGACCACATCGTTAGAAACGCGTCCTCGCGATCCGCGAAAGCGTTGCCCGTCAACAGCGCCGGAGCAGCAGGTCGAGCGAACAGGCTGGGCAACAGCAGCGGAAGCTGCGATGTGGCGGAGCTTTTGCGCCAGTTGCGGAACGACGAGGGAGAAGTGGCGGAAGCGGAGGAGGAAGTGGCGGAAGCGGAGGGGGCTGAGCCAGAGCTGCGACGCACTTCCGCCCCATGTGCTCGCTTCCTCAGCTGCAGCGAAGCCTCTCGGGCGGTGGAGCTGGTTGCGCGCGAGTGGGGCAGAGGCGATCAGGAAAGGCGGGGGCAACCACAGTGGCGATTGGTTGCGCAGAATGGATCCGCTAATACCCCCTCCGCTGCCACAACATCTACAGTACACAACTCAACCGTCCCACCACTACATCAATATTCAGCTGTTACCGGAAAGCGGAGTGATTTGCACCAACGCTCCGCCTCCATGTCAGCAACAGCCACCAGTTTTGCGACCACTGGATTCATCAGCAAGGTTACACACAGTGATATTGTAACCAGCACTGTGAAGCCCCATCCCCCTAACGTTGTAGACTACAACTGTTCGCGTAAGTCTCACCGCAGAAACACATCGTGGCCTTCCCAAAATCCAATCTCTAGTGAAGGCTCGGCACACAAGAGTATCAAACATTCTCAGTCGTCGCCATTTCCGGATCCACATCTGCATTCCTCTCACGCGTCCACTGCCCATGGTGCTCTAAGGGCTGGCTCCACCCTCATCACTCCTCCCCCAGTCAACCCTTCCCTGCTTGCTGCTGCTGCTGCTCCTGTTGCTGCTCCTCCTGCTGCTACTGCTGCAGCCGCTGCTACCGAAGCCAGCCACACATTGACAGACTTCGGCTCGCAGCATTTGCCAGCTGCATCGCAAGCGCCTGGTTCGTGCTCGGATGAAATCGCGGTAGATTCTGACGACGAGTTTGTGGGATTGTATTGGGCAGCCATGGATCACAGGAAGGCGGCCTCTGCTGCAATTTCCACAGCCATGCATCACCTCGGATTGGATGGGGATGGCATTGTGGTTCCTGAACTGAAGGGACAGAGGCACCAGCGCCAGCACCAGCAACAACACCAAAGCCAGCATGGAGGCAAGGGCAATGTTTTCCGCTCACGCAGTCATCGTGACAGCAATGCCAGAAGCAGCAGCAGCAGCAGCAGCAGCAGCGCTGTTTCCGTTGCTTGCAAGTCAGCCGGAGATGCAAGCAGTAGCCACAAGGGAAGTAAATATCTCACCATCAATCCCCATCCGCAATCTGGAACCTATGAGAATAGCCACCGTCGTCGCAGCTTCACCCTTGGTGACGTCAGCCCTTCACCACCTGCCAGCAGCAACTCTGTAATCGCTGCCGGTACACATGAAAAGGGAATGAGGTGCAGCCGGGAAGATATTGTGGCAACTGCTGAGGCTCAGGGAAGCCTTTTCAAGGGTTCAAGTCGTAGGAGGCACAGTGGGAGTAGTGCTAATCAGGCAGCATTTTGGGAAGGAGTGGGTGGTCACACCTACAGCAACCGCAGCCACTGCAGTCATACCAGCAGTAACCAGTTTTCGACACGGCTGCCTCACACTCTGTCAGACCCTTGGGCTTTTGATGCCTAAGACTTGGCCATGAGGGGCAATCTGACTGGGTGATCAGAGCACAGGGCAAGGAGGTTCAGCAATGCTTGTGTCTGTGAAGGAGTAACAGTAGCAAGTGCAGCAGGGTATACAGTGCAGGACCCACTGAAAGAGACCTTCATAGAAGCTACATGCATGATGTACGGAGCAGGTCATTGAACTAGAATGAGAGATACAGGCAGGGGTGATTTTCTCATACTATTCTAGTCTGATTGTCTGAAATTTCAGACACATTTTTTGGCCACTCCTGATTTTTCAGACTTTGGCTTTTGTGGATACTGAACCATTGAGAAAGCTTGCTTTCTTGTCCTTTGCAATAGGCATCGTTCTCATTTCAAGTGGGCTAGGTACAATAGTCGCTTTCTATCTTATAAGAATCTAAACATGCACACATCATGATCCTAGTTGTGCGCTCCCATTCAAGTGACCGGCTGTCAACTGGAGATGCGCGGTTGTCTAGAGGGGGGGGTGGGTGGGAAAGTTGACTGAGCCGTTTGAAAAATAAGAGACGTGGGTGGAGGTAAATGAGCTCCAACCCACGTATATGTAGTTGGAGAAGGGCGAGTAGCGCGCTTCGACGATGCCCAATGCTTCAGTACAATCAGCTTCGCTTTCACAATACACAATTTTTGAAAAACACTACGTGTGTTAAAAAAATATAATATTGAGAAAGCCTACTTTCTTGTCCTTAGCAATAGGCATCGTTCTCATTTCAAGTGGGGTCGTTGAGACATGTATCGTGGGGGCTTGCGGTGGCGGAGAAGTGCCTCGCCGTGTTGTGCAGAGGATGATGCCGCCGCCGGGTCTTGCAGGCGACGAGACGCGCCAACCAGATGATCGGTCACGGGCGTGACGTACATCTCTTTCGCGGTTTCACTACGCCAACGGCCCAGGCATTTGAAGATCCTGTCAGGGAACCCCGGAGTTGGCAGCAACTGTGGCCGCGCCTTTCCGAAAGGAGTGGGTGCCTAGGTGCTCTTCTCCCAAACCGATTTTTGCGAAGGCTTACTTGCACCAGTTGCGGATTGTGGTCTATGAGGGCGGTCTGGCTGTGCCGTGGCTCAGTAGGTGGGGTCCGAAGACCCGGATGAGCAGTCCCGAGGACTGGGGGCTGTATCCTGCGAGTTGGATGAGCCTTTGGGTGCCCTGGACCGGACAAAAGGGTCCGGGGCTTGCCGCGATAGGGATCCATGTGCCTTGGCCGGCTTGGTTGGTTTTTGAGTGCGGGATGAGTAGCCACATCGCTTCATCTTTAAATTGGATGTCCTGCCATTGGATGGCCACCAGGTCCGAGTAGCGCAAAAAACCAGCGTACATGAGAATCGGGATCAATCCTTTTTGGAACACGGCTGGGTTGTTTGACTGTAGGAAGGAGGCTGCCATATCGTGGACCTGATGGAGTGAGACTGGCTCTTTAATCTTGTTAGACGCGGGCAGTGTCGCTTCGCGAAGTCGCGCACTTGGGAGGTAAAAGGACCGGTGGTTGGGCATGTTGAGCCTGTCATCCTGTGGGCAAAGCTCACGGCGGAGCATGTGAGCTGAACCACCGACAAGGAGGCCTTGCGTTGGATGACATACACCAGGTAGAGCGCGAGGGTCATGTCCGATGCCGGCAAGAACGTTAGGTTGACCTTCGTGCAGAAGGCGCGGAACTTCACCCAGTAAGGCTCGTATGTTTGGATGGTCGAGTCGGCACGAGAGCGTGCGAGCATGGAAAACAAGTCGTGTTGGAGCTTTGGAAGCAGATCTGGGGACATGCAGAGGAATCTAGTTAGTCAAATATCACGCGGAGTGCGACGATAGTGCTGTTGGGTAATCCTGTGCCTGAGAATGCTTGACTGTGTGTGCCGACTATAAGACACTGGCTGCCGTGTGTAAGAGGGATATGTGCTTGGATGTGTGGGTCTCACGATGGAGGGGAGGGCTGGAGGAGCGGCCACCAGCTGGCGCCAGGCTAGTGTGGGACTATGAGGGTGAGAGATGCGCTCGTGCGTTGTGCGTGATGGAGTACTGCGGGGATGAGTTGGGGCGGTGGGAATGCAAAGCTGTTCTCAGCCGTCCAAGCAAGTGAGAAGGCATCGGCTGCTGTGGCATCGGGGTGGGGGACCTTAGAGAAGAAACGCGGCAAGTGTGCATTTTGGGGGTTGGCAAATAGGTCAATGGAGTGGGGCCCCCAGCGACGCTCGAGGAGGCGAAACCATGGGAGCTTCAACAAGTAGTCATCGTGGTCGACTAGCTTGGAGAGCTCGTCTGCACGACCATTCAGATCGCGTGGGATCCATTCGATGATTAGCCGAATCTCGAACTCCATGCATTTTTGGATGATGCCTTTGCATGTGGTGGTGAGGTCGGGACTTCGGGAACCTCCTTTGCGAAGGATGAAGAACACACCCTGGTTGTCCACCCGCACTAGCACGTGTTTGTTCCGGATTCTAGGCGCGTACGTCTGTAGCGCCCACAGCACGCCGGCGAGCTCTCTTTGTGTGCTGGAGGCTGGATGAAGGGCTTCGGGCATTGACGCGTTGGCCTCTGTCGCGGCTCCACGGAATGTGTTCAGCGTGGCACCCCAGCTGTGGGCACTTGCGTCTACGTGGATGACTGCATCGTAGCTGTGCCGCACATGGAACGGGGCACCGTTGAAACGGTCGAACTCTTGGATCCAGAATCGCAGCTCTTCGATGACGAGTGGGGAGAGGAGAACCATGCTGGTCCATGTCGGCGCGGCTGGCATAGCGTTGATTGTTTCTAGCATGGCGTGGCTGAACGCTCGGGTAGTGGTGCCGAGTGCGACAGCCATCGATGCCAGCATGCCTGTAACTCGTGCCAGTTGCCGGACTGGGACTTTCCGCTGGGCTGAGCTTGCGCGCAGTAGGACATGGAGGGTGGCATTGAGTGTGGCTCGCCGCTCCTCGCCGATGGAGAACCGGCCGGCCTATGTGTCGAGTTCTACGCCAAGGAGCCGAAGGTGCTGTGTTGGTATCAGCTTTGAATTTTTTGAGTTGAGTACGAGCCCGGCAGCCCTGAGATCGATAACGACCCGTTGGCACGTGGCTTGAGCGTGTGCCTGGGTCGGGCACAGGAAGAGGATATCGTCAACGTAGGGTATCACGCGGACCCCCTGCTCCCGCCATCGCCGAGCTAATTGCTTGATGAGCTGCGTGAAGACGAATGGTGCTGTGGCGAGGCCGAACGGCAAGGATCGGAAGGCGTATGTGCGCCCGTCGAATTCAAAGCCGAGGAACGTCCAGCACAAGGGATGGATGTCGACATGGTGATAGCCTGATTTCAAGTCGATGGAGAACATCCAATCTCCTTGGCGAGCGAGGTCCGCTACACGGTTGAGTCCCTCGTATTTAAATTTGGGGATGATTAGTGCGTCGTTCACCTTTCGGAGATCCAGAATCAGGCGACACTTGTCTTTCTGCTCGACCACGTTGAGTGGGCTTATGCATCTCAGTTTCGCTGCAGGAATTTGGATGGCCGCGCCGGTCTCGGTGAGTTCAATGATGACCGTAAGCGTGAATGCTTCGTGGATGCGTGCGCCGGCATGGTTGCGATCGTGAAAGGCCGGCGGCAGCCCGAGTTTCCATGGCATCCAGTATCCTTTGGCAATGACTGAGAGTATGAAACTGCTAGTGCACCACGAGCTCCACCAAGCGAACGTGGTATGTAGGCGGCCACACATTTGGGTGACCATCTTGTCAGTAGCCGCGTATTCGTAGGGGTCACTGTTGTGTGCGCATTCGCGAAGTCGGGTGCCTGTGGGAGTGACGTCATGCAAGGAGAAGCAAGGGACGCATCCTTAAGTTCATCTGCAGGGCTGAGGCCTGCCGGAAACCTAGAGTGTGGGGGGGGGGGGGGAGTGTGAAGCCTAGTGGCTAAGGAGGGCGTGCAGGACAGAGGTGCCACGTGTGAGCAAGATGCTTAGGTCGGTGGTTGCCTGCGCTTTGAGCGAGTCTGAGCGGCGTGACCTGCGTGTGTGTCGGTTTGCGCGTCCGCGCATGCCGAGCTTGCGTTCGAACCTGCGCCCCGACGTTTGTGCATGAGTTTCCGCTTATTGTCCTTCCCTTTTTGCCCTTATATTCCCACAACTTGTGCCTTCACTCGCGCTTCTACTCGCGAACGCATGTTACCCTCTATTGCCTCTTTCGCTTGCGTTCTCATTTCTTGGGTTTTAAGACTCAACGCCCGTGCTCTTTTCTTTTTTTCTTTTTTTTGTCTTTCCTCTAACCACTTCTGGCGTGCTTGTGTGGCATGCGTGCGGTGTTTTTGTTGCTTTTCCCATTCGTGGGCCATACCGCGGGCGTGCGCGCATGCTTCTGTGACTTTTTTTTTTTTTTTTTTTTTTTTTTCCAATGCCAAGCTGGGCAGCCCTGGATGAGGTTGGTGTGGCTGTTCCTGTATGCCCACGGAGGGGTAATGCTTGGGGTCCAGGGTGTAGCACACCGGGTTGGAGGGTAGGCGCCTCGTGAGGCTCGCATAATGCTTGAATTCTGTTTTTTTTTTTTTTTTTTTGCATGTCCAATCGATGAGCAACTATGTGAGGGTAAGTGGCGGGCCACTGGTGTTCCTGATGGCCTTCCTTCTCTGGCCGGGGGTGCTGTGTGACATGTAGCGAGGGTTGAGCCACCCACTATGCTTCCCCGTTTCGTGCTCGATCCTTTTTTTTTTTTTTTTTTTTTTTTTTTTTTTTTTTTTTTGCTGCGCCTCTTTTGGTGTTGCTTCCCCATTTCTCTGGTTATATTTAGGGGCCAAGACCTGAAAAAAACGAAGGACCGTGGCTCCTTATTTTAACCAAGCTTCATCTCTACTCAACCATGCTCCTAGGCATGCAAAGTCCGCCTTGCAAGGTCGGGCTACCATTTGGGGCCGAGGGGGTATGTTCCCCTTCCCTTGCTCTGAGCCTAGGGCCTTCAATTGGCCAACACTAGGGCTGGCCCTCTGCCACCCGTGCCCCTAAGGGGTGGGCCCAATGGCCTACGCACACACCGGGTGCCTTGCGCCTTGCGCCACTTGCGCAATCGCCCATGGCCCGACCCCTACACCACTGGCGCGGGTCCTTGGCCACCATGCCCAATCGCCGGGCAGCCGCTGGCCACATGCCCCGGCTGGCCACAGCGGAAGCAACTGCCTCGGAAGCCGCGGAATTCTCTCGTAGGCGGCGGACCACGCTTTGGCACGAACGGCATGGGCATGCGGCCGCCTCCGCGATTGCCACGAGCAAACCCGCCCTCGACGCGGTCCAT